ACTGTCACACGTTCACATAAATTAAAAACCAAGCACATGGGGTCTGATAAGAGGTGATGGGTAATGAACAGTGATGCAGATGGGCAGGGTTAAGGGGTAAAACTGCTGACTCTGGCTTTAGTATAATGTGATAAAGAGCACAAACCTGCAACCCTACAACACTTTATCAGTAAGCATTTACAAACTTATCATGTTGTTCATTGCTTCCAACAGTTCAAATTCATTTTGAGATTGTTTGCATTTATTCAATCTTGTTTAAAAGTCATTGTTTCAACATCTTTGTCTTCTTGTGTTATTTGTGCATATCTCTGGAGTCCAGGAGAGCCAGTAAATAAGTGGAACCTCCTGAGGATATTGTAAATGTGGCACACTTGGATGAATAAACTTGGCCTCTTGACTGCTGAAGTCTTTTACCATTACTGGGTTCTGCAAAGCCCAAAGACACTCAAGCCACTGTGTCTTGTGATCTGGCTGAGCTATGACAGTAATGTGTATTTAATAAAACAAAACAAACAAAAAATAAAACAAAACAAACAAAAAATAAAACAAAACTGTGTTCGTCAAAAAACTGCACCATTAAATTTAAATAAAAACACACAGTTAGAGGGGGTAGAGGGGGTTACCCGGCACCTTACCGGCCAATATTGCACAGCAGAAACTATCGAGTCCCACAAAGAAATCGAGCTCAGCTGTCGAAGGAGGGCGAACTTGGAGAGTGCAAATGAAGCATTTTGTCAACATACAATTTCACATTGCAAGGGACTGGATGTAGTTCTCTCCCACTGCCTATTTTCAAGAAGGATGTGCTCAGCATTTTACCAAGATAACAGATTACAAGCGAGGTCATAGGCATAGATAAACACAGAGGATCTTAATGAAATGATTGTTCAGTGCTGGAAAAATCAGTGAGGGCACACTTCTCTGGTATTTTATTGCTGTTTTGGTAACCATGAGAAAAAGTCTGAATTCTCGGAAACACTACAAGTGGTCTGACTGAGGAAGGGAGGCTGGCAAATACCCAAAAAGAGGTGGGTGGCAATTTAAAAAAGGCTGATGGAAATGGAGCAAGGTAAGTTTAATTTTCCTACTGGCCACTCGAGTATGTAAAACAGGCGACTTGAAGAAACAGCAACCACCATTTAGGCCTACAGTTTTACACACAGTGTGAGTATGAAATCAAAGTCCTTCAAGTTTTATAATGTCATTCTACGAATTTTATGTAAAAATGGATTGACAGTGCTGTATTAGTAAACACAATGTGGAACTGATCCACTGTCAGCATTGTTCTTGTGTATTTACTCTTACCATCTAACTACTGTTTTATCATGTATGCTTGTTAATGGTTAAGTCACTTTAAACCTCTGATATTGGATTGATTTTTATCACACCTTTAAACAAATATCTCTCTTTAGCAGCCAAAAGCTCTACATGTTCTTGGTGCTGAGCAGGCAAATGTACAGTGGGTTTTTAGAGATTTTTGACTAGAATTTGTATAAGTAACTTCTGCTGCAGCCCAAAATGAGAGTAAACAAATAGTAAAATTGCACTGAGTGAAAAAAGGTTCCTAGGTTATGTTGTGAAATTAAAAATTAAAAAGTCCCAAAGTTTCTGTCTCAGGTAATCATGCTGTGCACTGTCGAAAGTCAAATGGCTGTAAAAGCAGATGAACAAAGTGCCTTGGACCTAGAGTAAATGACACTAATGCCACTAATGACATGGACATTAAATCTCCCCAGGCAATGTGTCAAACACACATAAAAATTAATATTCAGCACCACAACACATCCACACACAAAAAGACCAAAGGATGCCAAGCCTCCGAGCCCATCTTAACTCCTCCATAACATGCGATAATCTTCCTCAGCCCCCCTTCTTTCCTCTTATCTTTGTGAGGAGGTGCGATGCTACTGCAGATCGCCTACAGCAGTCGGAGAAACCACAGTGTTTTAGTCTAAAGCTGCCATAAATAACATTAAGTTGTAATTCCTTACTTTCTGTGCAAAGCTATAAATGATCATATTCTTGAGACTCCCTTTGGATATTTGCTTTCAGAATGATGTTTACCAATATTATTCACACACTATAAGTGCAGTTTTAATCTGCACATCATTTGCCCTCATATTGCATCAAGACTTCACCCTCTTCTGAATTACTACAGACTTATTCTTTCCTTGATATGTTGTACAGTCTAATGGTGTGTTCATTGTTTTTGTTTGTATTTTTGAACATGCATTGCTGGTATCTGTGCCTTTTGTTGACAGCAAGAAAGAAATTCTTTTGTGGAATACACATATTTGCTTTCTTACTGCGATTAAATGAGAACATAGAGAATTTTGTTGGTTTAATCCATACAAGCTGCAGTTAAACCCCTGTAGAACTAAAACGTGTAAATTTTACTCTTTATAATGTATTAATTAGTGGGTTTTAGAGATGCTGAGATGTTGGTAGGCAAATCTTGTTAAAGCTGATAGAGCCAGACCAGCTGTTTCCCACTGCTCCCAGTTCTGCTAAGCTAACTGGCTGCTGGTGGTAGCTTGATTATTGTACAAACCCAAGTGTGGAATCAATCTTCTCATCACATTTTGAGCAACAAAAACATTAATAGTCACACTATTACTCTAATAGCGAGATTAGCTGATCTGAGTGGATTGATACTATGTTATGGGTGTAATTCATAAAAATCTCTGAACCTTTTGGGAACCAACAGGAACATCACATATTTCAACCCACATCCCATAATCTGACCTCTCAGAAGCCACAAACTGGCCGAGCAGCAGCTCTGAAGCAATATCTCCTGCAAAGCTCAACTAGCCAAACATACTGAAGTAGGGTTTCTTTCTTTGGACAGGCCCTGCTTTCTTGTCTTAGCCATCACAAACTATATTTAGCTTTGCAAAAGGGCCCAAATGTATTGCAAACAAAAGCTGCATGGCTGACATTTCTGGGCCGGCTGTAAAAGGAGCGGGTGAAGTGTTTAGTATTACTTCTCCTCCACTTGACCTCAGAGGAAAATATTTTTATGGAAAGGAAATAGATTGAACCTTGGGGTTATTGTGTCTCTTCCAGGACCAGACTCCAGACATCCCTCACCTAAAGGTGAGTCAGAGGTGCCTTGTCAAGCAACAGTCACTCAATATAACACTGTGATTGTCTAACCTTGGTTTGAGTTTGCAAGGAGCTCATAAAAGGAATGACAAACAGGGAAGTGATGAAATGTGTTTGTGTGCATTTTAGTGACAACAAGTAAGAAAAAGAGAGATCGAACAAATGCAACTACTAAATATACAGATTTCCTGTCATAAAAGAAAACAGGATAAACATCTAAATATCACACTGAAATGGGAAAGCTCTAACTGCTGCAGGTCTTCACATTCCCACTGCTGTTTCCTCTTATTCCCACTCTGTCTGTCTGCCTCACACCAACGTTTGCATATCTGAGATGTCTGTCTTCCTAATAAAGCCATGGTATAGTGAGAGAAGACTAGGCAGGCCCAGAGAGGGATGCTCCATAATGTCTGCAGCATTTCTGTTAGTTTTAATAAACCAGTACAACAAATAAATACAGATGATTTTTTACCCTTGTCTGGATTAAATGTCATGACATTAGGCAATTTCACTAACCAGAGTAAGAAAGAGTCATGAGGGACTTCAGACATAGAAAAATGGATCCCGTCTCCTCTGATCACTGCTGCCATGGTTGTGGGCAGTAGCCTATGCTGTGGCACAGCCCAGCAGCAGACCTTCTGGACATAAGTGATCAATTCACAGTCAGTGTACTTTTATTACATCGTGCAGACATAGAAAAATGGATCCCGTCTCCTCTGATCACTGCTGCCATGGTTGTGGGCAGTAGCCTATGCTGTGGCACAGCCCAGCAGCAGACCTTCTGGACATAAGTGATCAATTCACAGTCAGTGTACTTTTATTACATCGTGCTGTTTGCTTACTGGGCTGCACAGCTACTGTATAAAGTCTAAAGAAAATAATATGAAAAACAGGAAATAGAAAAATAGAAAATATCAGGTCTTTTGAGTGCTATGCGAATGCATGTTGATCAAACTTGGAGGCAAAACTTTGTAACATAACAGTCTTAAAAATAAAAATGTGGTCAAAAGTGAGGTATAGGAAAATAACAAATGCAAAACGGACAGTTATAAATTAATACTAGCCTAATAAGGGACTGAGACACTTTGGGACAGATCTCCCAGAAACAGTCGGGAAACAGCTATATGCTACATTTTAACTGGGACGGGCAACCAAAACCAGATGCACAGATGCAAAACTAATTATGTAGTCACCACCTTATAAAAGGGGATGACAATGTCAGAAAAGCACTTCCAATAGAGCACTAATCTCACCTTTGTGTGGTTTGTCCTTATGAAGTTTGGCATTCTTCTCATTTTGGTGCACCAAGCAGTATGTTCGATACTGCCACCGGTGGTTGGGGTGGTGGTGGAGAATACCCACTTCAGCTGGTCCAGAAGCCGACCACGGGCCGGCATGGCAACCAAACACTCAGTGTTAAACCTGCCTAAAACACCTGATGTTCCACTTGTGACTTGTTTTGTTTACAAGATCCAGCTGCTGCAATAATTTGTCTTCGAAATATGAGGTATTTCTATAATGATGTCAATATCAGGATTAGCCTGTAGTGGTCTAGTATTTGACAATGATTTAGAAAGTCTGTCAAAGCTCTTAATAAATTAACCAAGCCAAATCTGACTGTCTTATATTTATTTCCACTGGCAGCTGTTAAAATGCAGGCATGTTGTGTGATCTCATCTCTGTGCCTGTGATCACCAGCCTCCTTTGACCCCTGACAAGCTCCTCCCTGTCTACACAAAATGAAAATTATTTCTCAGCAGCATTAATCGGCACATAAGGGTTAATGTACTATAGGCAGCCATGTAAAGCCACAGACCAAAGTATAACAGAAAACAGTTGGTCTAAAGCTGACATCTGGTTTTTTGCAGGATGGATCGTAGGTCTGGTCGAGGCCACCGCTCTGGAGAGAAAGAAGAGAGGAGGGAGCAGCCCTGACCTGCAGAGACACCCTGCATCATTAATTAATCAGTTTGGGAATTCCAAGTTGAAGGAGGGCATAATGATACACAGGGCTCCTGTGCCCCAAATAAAACACAGCACGCACATCACAAGTTCTGTTGCTTAGCCTGTAGCAGATGTGGTGTTTGCACTCCTGAGATCAGGGCCTTAGACGGGAAATAACTACTAGCTCAGAGCTGAAGATCTTCCAATTTTGCCCTTTTCATTACTGCATCCCACTGAGGCCCTGAACACATTAGGCCCGCCAGTCACCTGTTCCTGCCTCGCAGCGACTGTGTAAACAGCAGAGATGAGTTATGCTACTAAGCTCAGGGACAACAGGGAAGAAACAGTTCACCACTGAAAGGACTCAAAGTAGAAACTGGAAGTGACAGAAAAGCCTCAATGAGTCTTGATCTAGTTGCATCGAGTGAGAGACATGAATTACTAATGCCAAATGTGAATGTAAGTAGACATAATTAATGCAGAGTAAAAAAGGCAGAGGAGGAGAGCAGACTGTTCTAGTCCCTACTGAAACCACTGAGATAAAGCCTGTGGCTGCACTGTTACTCTACAGTTGCCGTCCTATGGTTTTCTGCATATAACAGAAACACACTCTGGATGAAAAACACAGGTTAAGTTCTTCAACTATTCCACTTTATTGTTTTCTTCTACTGTATGTGTTATTGCTGCTATAGCTCCATGTCATATGTTATGTTGAGAAAAGCCTCGTACCTACATACAAAAGGTTTTGCCTGCGGGCACTTTCCACCTGCACCTTTCCACCACCCCTCCCCTCGCCCTCTTTCTCTCTCATGTCCATTTATTGTCACTTATACCTGTCACAAGTTGCCCCAGTAGAACCACAGTAGAATCTTGCCACATGCATCAAATTGATTATCATCACTTTATCTTCTGATTATTTTCTCAGTCATCTTCCCCATCAATTTATCACTTCATATTTAAAATACCCAAATATTCAGCAAGCATTCACACTAATTCCTCATGTGTCCAACACACCTGGCCAATAAAGCTGATTCTGGTCTGAGAAGCTGGAAACAGCCTGACATTTTCTCCTAAAACTAACAATTCATCAATTGCGCAAATTGTTACTGTTCACTGAGGAATCAATTCATTATTTCAGCTCATCTTCATACATAATTTCAGCACTTAAAACAATGGTAGCTGTTTAACAATATGTTATATTCATATAGGGCTATGTCTGACAGTTTTTATTACTGACTGATCAGTATAGCTCCATATTGATATACACCAGCAAAGTTAAAACAATGCTCCCAACATTTAGGTTAAGCTGCATGCACAAAGACACTACATTCTGTATATTGCATGCCTTGCAACAATGCTAGCTTAATGTGTCCTGAGGGCTCTAAATGAAACGCATTCTGGTCATTAAGTGGGACACAGAAAAGTGAAAATCTATCTGCCAAGCTGCCTTTCTCCAGGGTCCTCTGTGAATCCCCAATTATCTTCCCATTGAGTCTGAAGGTTCATTTATAACAGGGCTGCCCACTCAGGTGCAATCCAAAGCTTTCATGACTGATAGCTCAGCAAAGGTTTGCTCTGTTGTTTCTCAAAGCTAAAATCATTTTCTTTCAATCTGGAAATACCCTTGTTTTGAAAGCTACATACAGAATCTTTGTGGCACAGAATACAGAAGGCATTCCACTAATTTTTCCAATGCTGCTTTAAGGCCTACAAGTCTGAAAGGTCAAAATACAAGTAGCACAAAACTTTCTAAAAACCGCTCAATTCTTTTAAGACAAAAACACACAGCCACAAATGGATGTGCATAAACACAAGCAGATCTGCTCACTTCTATCTTCTCTTTTTCCCCTTTACTGACTTTCTTTGTTCTTTCCATCCATCGACCAGTCAGGTGTTTTACAGAAGGCGAGGCTCTTCCCAACATCACCAATACTTGCATGGCCATCCTGTAAATCACCCTGTGCTATCTGCAGACAATGGGTATTTCCACAGCTGTTTGCACCGCAGAGAAGCATCATACAAAATGTTTGAATGTTCATTAAAAGCAAAAATAAAATGTGTTCCCTTGTTTGCTTTGAATTCTACTGTCATGTGAGTTTAACAGTGCAAGGATTGCTACGTGTTCTGCTTAACATTCTAGTCACTAAAAAGTAAATTAGATAAATAATTCCATTACAAAAATACTAAATCTGTCTATTAGCTAATAATTTATACAACTGATTACTTTTCGGTAACTGGCAATGCTATGTCTGTACTGTGTCACAAGCGGCTGGAGTAATTAAATGTCCTGAAATGGAGCCCCATGGAGGATCTGACAGTGAGTATTGCTTTAAAAGCTGATTGAAAGACATAGTGAAAGGTCTCTAGGGGCACATCAGCTCATCCTCCTAACTCTGCTGTCGGATATTAGGGTCTTCCTGGCTGCTTTCCAGCAGCTCATCCTCAGAAAAACTGATGTGAAGACAAGTCTCATTCATCGGAGAAGAGAAGGGCAGTGGGTGCTCATAGGTGTCAGAGTGTGAGGTGAGGGTAAGGGTCTCAGTAGGATAGGACTCAGACAAAGAGAGGATGGCTTCACTTCTCTCCTCCAGGGGACTGTCACAGCTACTGGAGGCCGTTAGAAATGTCCCGGGGTCCCCAAACAGGTCGTTGTTGTCAAGCAGGGGTGACACCAGCGACTTGGTCTCAGAGCGAACGCCAGAGTCCTCGCTGGCTGAACAGGAGCTGCTCTCACCGTTGCTAAGAGAGTGGAAATCAGTGGACGACAGGGGGCTGGGGGCTGCATCGTTATCGGTGACCTCTGTAGGCGTGGGCCCAGCGGTGACTTCTGACCCTGGAGAAAAGCACCTGCTGGCCCGTTTGCGGGTCAGACAGGGTGGTGGAGGGTCAAGTTTAGGGATTGTTTGTTTATATCTGCAAGTAAGAGAACAGAGGGACTGGTTAGGAAACTCTGACAATCAGCCTTTACTGGCTAACATGTTGAGAATTTCACAGTAGATACATGAATGCATTTTTATTAGCATTATTTTGCTAATATATTTTTAGAAGCATTTCTCTCTACCACGGAGTATGATAATAGGCCTCGAGCCAGTTTTCCTCTCCATCAGTCACATTATACCCCATTAACCCCAGCACACTGTGATGCAAACTGTTACTACACAGTACAGTAATTCTCTCTCAGGCTCCCTCTTGTTCCAGCAGTCTAGGGACTTATCTACATCCCACAGCTCCCCTGCTGAGAAAATAGAGAGACAGGGAAAGAAAGAGTGCCCATGATAAAGAACTGTGGGCAAGGAAGCGAGGAAAAAACTGCAGGCTTTCCCCTGCTACACTACGGAAATAGCTACACTGCAGTCTCTGAGAGAGTACCACAGTAATGCCACGACAAACGCCACTGTGCACAGCCGCTCATATTCACAGACATTCTCTTGGAAATGACTGCTGACATACACCTGTCAACATGCCTGACTTTCCCCTGTCTCCTCCCCTCTACTTTATGCTGGTGGCTGCTAACGTCATTCCCCAGTGAAATCTGGTCTGCATTTGAATCCTGGTCTAAGTAATAAAGTTATGTGACTTGCTGATGTATTTACTGGCTCTGTTTCCATATGAGGATGTGTGGACAACAATAGTATTCACAAACTAATTATCCAATTATTGTTTCATACTACCAAATGGAGTAGCACACACAGCACTATGGGTAAAAGTCAAGTTAAACTCCAATGTCAAAGAGGGTATTTATATATAGAGCACAGTTCAAAGGTTTGATTTTTTTCATGTGCTGTTATTGTTGAATGTACATGTTGCAGCAGTGTGGAGTTGAATCTGTGCCTAGATCAAGGAGCAGGCTGCCTCTCTCCCTCCCTCTTTGCTGTCATTATCATAAATTTGACTCAGCACTCCCCTTTTCTGTCACATTGACACCAGTCCCTGCTTCACCGCCCCATCTCCCACGGCTGTGTTTTCTCTTACCATTTCTCTTCGTCTCTCCACTTATCTCGCTCCAGTCTCAGCTGCCAGGGTGTTTTTCCTTTAGCTTTTCTTTTCCATTGGTTCATTTGCATATTTACTCTAACATAAAGGTCAGTTCCATCCACTCCATTAATAATTCCTACTATACACTATTTGTGCCATTTTAAATACCTGTTTGGATAGAAATGTAGATATGTAGATTTATGTTGCTTACAGACCGCAGAACCTTTAAAATCCCAGTTAATTCCATTCCAGCATGCAGTATTCGATATGGCCCAGAGTACTGAAATATTCAAGTGCTCATTATATCATCAGTGCACGACATAACCTCTCTCACTAAAGGAGCCTGTTCAAGTCAGACCATTTGTGAGAAGTCACACATGTACTCCAGTTTACTGCTAAACAATATCTGAAGGCTTAATTCCTACCACTTGGGTAGCCACTGCTTTCAGTTCAGTGTGGAATAAAAATAACTCGCAAGCACTTAAAATGTGCTTGTGATACTGTCAATAATCCATCCCAGCAAGGAGTTCACTGGGATTTCTTTTTTAAAGCAAGATTTTAATTTTGCAGTAATGCAACTTATTTCATGTCTCCTAAAGTGGAGCATATATTTCTGTCAGTTGTTTCCAGCCACAAACTCATCTATTTCCTTTTGCTCTTGAAGTGGCTGCAGGTCAAACGTGCAACAGTACAGTATGTGAGATCTGTGATGTTTATATGCCTGAGGCTGGGATTTACTGTCAGGAAGACAGTGATTTGGTAAGATTCAACAAAGCAAAACATGCCCATGACAAAATCGCACACTCACACTAAAATATAACACAAACACTACAGTAACACTGTGCATATAAGGCAAGTACATGAAGATGTCTCCAACAGTTTTACTGTTCAGGCTGAACTTCAGCAGTCGAAATAATATCAAATCCTGACAAGAATATTTTTTGTATTTTGACAAAAAAGTGGGAGACAAAATGAGCGCTCAGGTCCAGCTAAAGGTGGAAAACACAGACAGTGCTACCGTGCATCTGGCGTGTGACTGATTACCCTTATGTTAATGTGGTTATGAATTTGCAGAATCACATCCGCATATAAATGAAGATTATTGTGCAGTCATTAGCAGAGAAATCACTGGTGAGACCTACACACGAGCCAGCTACCACCCACACTGTTCATCCACCTCATGCCCAGGCGCATGCTTTTGCCACAGACACTTGTTCCACATGCTGGTTGTCATGAGTAATACTCACATAGGGAGGAGAAGGGGGTAGAGAGGAGAAGAGGAGGAGGAGGAAGAGGAGAGATAGGGGGATTGGGCATTGGCAGAAATCCCCCTGGGTTCCTAGGGAGAGGTGGGCTGGGAATGGGGATGGGACAACGGAACGCATGAGCTGGGGGTTCATGGCGGGACTGCAGGTTGGTGTTATTCTGGGGGTTCAGTTTGTTTGTTTGGGCAGACTGACAGAAAAATGAAGTGTGGTTAGATGAGGAGGAGGATAAGCAGGAGAGGATCCTCACACCTGTAGCAAAAAAGGCAACAGTTAGGCTACAGAGGACCAGAGAGCTATACTGGGGATTTTAAAAGCCACAGATCTGATCTAGGCAGACTGCAATGAGTGGGTCAAACACACCACTTTTTGTTTTTTGTTTATCATTTCTCTACAAACTAACCTTACACCATCAGAATCATTTAAAAAAATACAAAAAAATCACTTTAACTAGGTTTTAATCATAAGTCAGTTGTTGTATAATTAAAAATCTCCAAAGCCTAATGGAACATTTTAGATTGATTTCCTATATTTGAGGCAGCCACTTTAAAAAATTTAACTGCAGAAAGCGAAAGTACTTCAATAGCTTTTACAACTGTGAGCAAGGTCTTATTTAAAAGCTCTTCTTTGGTGGTTTTTGCAGGAAAGTCTGACATGTGAATCCTGAAGACCAACACTGATAAGAAGAAGATTGTTGAAATCTAGGTGGAGCTGAAAGTGCAGTCATCCTCTTTTCTTAACTAGGAGACTGTCTGGCAACAGCAACCTTGACAATACAAGTGCCAAATTCTAATGATCCTTTTATTTGACTTTGAGGCTTTAATGTCCGACAAACACTTTAGCAAAGCGTTTCACTGTCAACTCTCAAGTCTCAGATGCTGGCACTTCCAGAAAGCAGCTAAAACACCAATGCAGCATTTTCAAGACAGTTTCTGCTTTCAATTGCATTTTCACTATGAGCTGTTCAAAACATCATCATTATTAAATCTAAATGTTCACTGTGGGCTGCCTGAAACTGTTCAACATATTACACCCAATAAACTGTATATTCTGTATTACACTGCATGTAGTTGTTGAGGTTTATCCCCTCTCTTTCCCGTTTTTGGAGCTTTTCCACATTAAGAGCCTACGAAGAGAATTTATAATTTGGGCTATATATTTAAAAGACATCACAACCTTTCAAGTCTTCACAAGTCAATTTATCATATTGCACTAATATGAGCAGAAAGCTATCACAAACAGGAAGGTAGCAAATTAATAGCATCTTACAGTAAATCTAATCTATCCTTTGGGAAACAGAGAGGGAAGGTAAAACAAGCATTACAAAAAAAATGTGTTCTGGGTTATTCACTGTAGAAACTTGTTTATTCCTGGGTTAAATACAGTAAATGCCACGGCTCTAGAAACCAAAACAACAAAGGTGTTGTAGATGGTACAGTGAAATGAACCCCCACGGTGTCTGCAGAACATATGACTCATAAGCACAGCGTGCTTTTTTTTACCTCACCAGTCAATCAACAGAACAAAGCCGGCCAGTCAAGAGAATGCCATGACAAAATAGCAGTGCTTTCTCATTTCAAAAACAAGCAGTAGGAGCTCAGCGAATCGACAGGTAGACGCAGATAAAAGGAATCGTTTAAACAACAGTCTCTGAGATGGACAGAAAGACAGACACAAAGCAAATGAAAGAACGAGTAGGAGGTTTAAGCTCAGAGAAGGGACACTGGGCCTTTGTAATAGTATCTTGCTTTTGTAAAGTACCACACAACACCCTTCTGAGTGTGTTTGTGTGCAAGATATCTGTGTGGTATCTTTAAGCATGTAGGTGGATGAACACAGTGTCTGCCAAACTTAAAATTTGAAGCAACTGTATTCTAGAGAGCTAAGAGCAGCCCTGCCTGACAGAAATCCTGTCAGACATTATTCAGAGAGCGACGGGTCAGCTTTTCATCTCTCTAGGTATCACATTCATTCCGACATGAGCCTGAGAACAGATATTTCCAGAAACTGTTAAAAGCAACTGTTTCTATTTCTGAATAACGGTGTGCAGCGATGTGTAAATCCAGCTGACAGAACCAGCTCTGCCCAGCTGCCTGCAAACATCATCCATCACACTGCCATCACATCGCTGCAACCAAATTACTGACCGCTGAGGCAACCGGTAGGACAAAGGGGAAGGAAGGGGAGATCACAAGATAGATCAAAAAATGTGAGTATGCACCATACAATTCTAATGTTGTTACTGTGAACATGTTAGCATGGTAACAGTACTTATTTCAAAGCCTTACACAGCCTAGCATCGCTGCAGACGCTTGTTTTTGTGTCACATAAAGAGGTTGATGACTCAGAAAGTTGCAACAACTCAGCTATGGCCACAATATGTATTTTTAATCTACTATTACATCCTGTTTTGATCCTACTGTAATTGTTCTGCTTGTTGTGGAGAGCATGACTACATAGCACATGGTTACATATAGTGCTGAGTACAATGCCAAGATACCATCTGCAGTGATCATACATAGAGTACTTGAGTCAGTGGGCCAGATGGAGAACACACATGGCTGTGGTCCATATGTTGAGCAATAATGCCTGTGTCATGTAAAGCCAAACTACACAAATAACACAAAATGAACAGATTCCATTGTTCCCCCTCTCCCCAGAGGTCGGCTGAGGCAGGACAAGGACGGGGGGTAAAAGGAGGAAAGATGGTAAGAGAGGATGGCAAATGAGTGTTTGCAGAACATAAAAGAAGGCCACTCAGGTTGTAAACATTGATTTGCTGTGGAAATCCAGAAAAGAAACACAAATGGAGGCAATTAAATTCGCCATGCAGTGAGGGAGGGTGGGTAGAGGAGCAGGACTGTGCCAGAGAAGGTAATGCAAAGGGGTTTTGTAAGGAAAACACTACGGATCTGAAACCTCTTTTTTCCTGTGCTTTAGTGAGATTAAAATGTCTAGGTGAGTCACACAAGCTGCATTACACACTGTTCATATCATAAACTAGGGTAAGTGTCGATGCATGATTTCTGGAAAATAATTATCAGTGTTTGTTCTATGTGGTAATAATCTGATTTGTCACCATCATCATCATTATTACTATTATTAACCCAGCATCAGGTTTTATAACAATTTACATAAGGATGATGCCTGTGTGCCACAAACAGAAGGTGGCAGCAGGAAAGCGAAGGCACTTTGGAGACAGAACATAAAATGCCCTAGTGGTATACTGGGTATACTGGAGATGGGATAAAAATGTGGTGGCACAGAGAAGCTGAGGAGGAAGAGAGGCAGACAAAAAATACATTTTGACTGTTATGTAATTCCAAATAAAGGGAAAAGGGGGTTTCAGCCTGGCAAATAACACCCCTCCAGATGAAACCTAATGAGTAGATGGAAATGAGCAGTGATGAGAAGCCTCTCTTTGGAAGTTCCCTCTTGTCTTATATGTATTTTTTCTCCCCAGTATCTGTCAAAAAATGTCCCGACACCCAGTATATAGGAGTGCAGGGTTTCAGGTTGCGGAGGGATGGGAGCCTGGGTTAGTTGGGAGTCTGTGCAGCAGGAAACCACAGGATGCGAGTCTGGTTAAGCTGCAGACTGACAAACACACACGTACACACAAACAAAACAGACCTACACAATTACAACATACAGTACACAAACCTGCCAAATACACACTAGACCGACAAGTCGGTTCCGGCTCATTATTTTTCTCCTTATGTGTTTTAAAATCAAATTTAACATGCTCTCCTTGGAGATCTGACAGCAGGCTGTTTTCCAAGAGAGGAAACAGCAAGAGAAGACACAAGCTGAGTGGGAGAATGAGCAAGAGGAGGGCGATAAAAGGAAAGGGACTGAAGAGTTTGTCCTGCTTGAGAGCTGTGCTGGGGCTTACTGTATGCAGTAAATGGTCCCTGTGACGGCTTTACAAAGATTAAAAGCTCTTTAAAAAAGAACCACATTCTGTGGCTCCACATATGCATACAAGCTAAGGGCTACTTGCAGTATGTGTACAGTAGGAAGAAGCACTTTACAAGGCAAAATGTGCCTGAAAAGCAAATCATGTTCATCATAAATTATTCCAAAGGAAATGATTCCATTTACTGTTTTTACTCCCTTGATGTGTTTTAATGGCTGAAACAGAGACACAGGGATGGAGTTAGAGCTGATGGAGTTTCTGTGTTCCTCATTTTCGCTAACAAGTTTCTCTGATTCCCGCTTTCATCCTCAAACCTGATCCCCACTGTTTGTCTAACATCAACCATTTCACTGTGCTCTGTGATCCTCTGATTACAGTCACAGTTTCATTAGCTAGAGGCTGTTTCTGCTGAGCTGAGCTGTTCTCCACTAATAACATTAAAAACTACAGGCTGTGTAGCCTGGTTACCTCAAACACAAACAGACTGGCATATTAAAGGAATAGTTCAACATTTTGGGGAATACACAGATTTACAGTTTTCCAATTGATTTTACACTCGGGGAGAGCTGCTGCATACAGAACTGCATCTGAGAGGTGAAGGAATTTTAAAAGAATGGCAACATCTCATGAAGGCAATTTATCTTACTGCTTTAGCTCCATCAAAACTGAACACAGACATGGAACAGACTCTGAGTGACTTTACAATGATGGTATCCATCACGAACAAAAAAACACTTAGGTGGTAAATAGGATGCTCGGTATAACTGTAGACGGTGCCTGAGAATCATCACATCTTTAAATTTTCTGCAGTATCAAAGTAACCCAGTGAGAGCTATTTGTGTATCAATGAGTGCACTGTAAACAGGAACAACTAATGGCTGATTTGGCACACTTTTAATTTGCCAAAGTGTAAACAAATATGAGCCTAAGAAAGATGCTCTGACTTCCAGTTTAGATCTCCCAAAGTATTATGTGAACTGTGGTTCTAAAACTTTGAGTATGTTATAGTATAATTACAACAAATAACCATAATAGGAGTGATAAAACCCATATTTAGAAACTTTTTTCATGTTACACTATCAATATTTTGTGACCGTATTAATGCTTCTTAAGAAACCTCGACATGTTCCTCTGTCCATTATTGTAGAGACATGTGGCCTGTGTTGAAACCAGAAATGGAGACATGTGAGTGGTGACTCTCTACCAGAAAGTAAATAAGCATTTTTCCCAAATGTTGAACTTGGCTTTATAGCAGAATGATCTGCTTATACTATATACACAAAATGAAATGACCACTCCACTCTGTTTTTGGTACCGTCAAACATTTTCTCTCTGTGTAGTTATCACCATAATAGCTGTCTTACTTTTCATCCACGTTGGCAGAGTTTCTCAGCTGAAATGGGACAATCTCACTGCAGGAGCTCTCCTTGTTGTCTGCTATCCAATTGGCCCTGTTGAAGAGGTCCAGGTTTTCATCGAGCAATGCAGCTGGTTTGGAGCGGTTCTCCAGGTTGAGTGGGTTGAGGTAGGACTTGGCGCTGTCTACCTGGGCAGGAGAGAGGGCTGGGATTTGGAGCGGCCACGCAGACATGGTGGTGATGAGTGGGTCCAGGGTCTGGCTGTAGCGATTCTTCAGGTTTAGAGACAGAGACTTTGCTGATGTAAAAACTGGGCTGTATGTTGGCTGGCCATCTGTAACAGCCACATAACACAAATCAACAAAATGTTAAAACAGCAAGTAGAGAAGAGTCGGCCACAACCAAGATGTTAGCTTGTCCTTCTAATGTGTCGGTGCCTTTATACAGTAAAGATCACTTAGGCCAGCCATGTCTAACATTAGCAATTAGCATTTTCACAGCATCAGAAGGGCTAACATGATTAATACAAGCATAAAACATGTGCCAGTTTTGTCAGTTTTAAAACACACACACACACTGTAAAATGAATTCAGTATGTACACAGACTCCCACACAAATAAAACTCACCCATGGCGCTCTGCCCAGTGTGTTTGTATGTGGTTATTCATTATTATTTTGGCAAGACACAGCCTTCTTTTAGCGGCTGTAAATTCATCCCTCCTCCAAAACTAGACAGACGAATAAAGGTGTGCATTTTTAGGAAGGCCCTGGTGGCACAGAGGGAAAACACTTGTGTTCATCTGTAGAGCAGGTTCAACCTCTTGCAGCTGTTTTTTCTGCTCCATCCAACACAAGTGAAGATGTCTGCAGGCAGGAGGGCAGTCTGGGATCATAGTTTGTGTCACAAATGTCTACATCATCCCCAGGCCACGAGGAGAGTGAGCAATGAGAAGTGCAGCACACTGGAGACCTGACCTGACACGACTTTGTCTGAGGGATTACACTGTTCCTACCAGTCACTTACTGTGTCCATTAGCTTGAGGCGGCTTTTGTGGTTGCTCTAGGAGTGTTGATTTTGAGGAGTGGGCCTCCAGCTCTTTCAACTGCTGCACAAGCAAGGCCAGGTGCTGCACCAAGTCCCTGTTCTGGAGCAGCAACTGGTGGACACGGGCCTGAGCCTCCATACGGGCTGTGGTCTCTGCCGCCATCTGATCCTTCAGCAGCTGCACCTGTAGTGGCAACAAAGGGAAATGGGTGTTTGTGTGGGAACACTTCTGGTTTGATATACAGTACATGCCAAACCTAGATGCAATAATCTATTAAAATGTTTGTTCAAACAAGCTTTTTTCTTACACCTCACTACATCTCTCCTCGCTCCTCATCATGTGTTTTTGATCCATGACCAGATTTCTAAATCATATCTATATTCCCAATGCAGAATTTGACAGTAAAGATGGGAAGGCTATTTACAGCAGGTCCAACACTAACTAAGGAGGTAGATTTTGATAAGGCAGGACAATCAACTGAGTCAGACACAAAATACTAAAGTAAATATGCATTTGTGTTGCAGTTCCTTAGATAACATTCTTAAACAGATAAACTTGATAGATCTCTTGCCTTTAAAATGATTTAGTACAAGTGGATTTTTCTTTCAGTGCAGGTTGTGTTCCTCTGCTGCACTGTGACCAACCATTACTGTGTTGGTGCTGCCACCTAGTGGTAGAGCATTAGTAAATGACATCCTGCTAAATTAGCAGAAGGATGTCCCAAACTGTTCCCCCTGAGTGTGCACTGGGGGGGCGCAGAAAGAGAGAGAGGAGAGGCAAATGTCCTTTGTGAGGTGAAAGTGACAGATATATATTAGTGCTCTAAAAACTATACAAATGTAGTTATTGTAGTTTGGCTCCTTTATCAAGAAGGTGGGCAGTGGAAGCTGCAGCAGTGGCTGTGACACACAGTTCATGGAGGCTATTAAGGTACTTTAAAATGTTTAGCTCCTGACCACCACAACTTGTGTCCACATTTGTAATCCTTTTCTCTGCATAACTCTGTCAAATCTGAACACTCATGCATAATGCATATTATATTACATATTGTTAGATCCAGTGGGACAATGTCCATCACAAATAAACATCTATAAATCCACTCTTTAACAGAAATACACACCTTATAATTGCAGATTTTGCCAGAGAATCAACATATTTTGCTTTCTTCAGCCATAAAGTAATCCAGTGATAGTTGTCTGTTTACAAAAAACTGACTACAGAAAAGCAAAGACTATGAGGAACGTTAATCTCATCTGCAACATTAAAAGAGGAACCAGTGTGAAGTTGTACTGTAGGTGTAGTGCAGTATATTGTTCATTGTTTACAAGCTGCACGCTGCGTGTAACCGTTTGTTTCCTACCTGTGCAACGGCCACCTGTGTGTGCTGCTGTTGCTGCTGTAACTGCAGCTGAAGAAGCTGCAGATAATGCTGTGATGCCAGTGGAGTGAGAGATGGAGAGCAAGGGCTGCTGGGAGTAATGCCTTGGGATGTCCAAGTGAATAGGGACATTTGATCTAAGTCCTGACAGTGGAAACAAACAGAAGGAAGGACAATGCTGATAAAAGCATATTTAAGTTGAAATGATGAGAATAATCCTGTGCCATCATCTTCCCCAACACAAATTGTACCCTCAAAAACAAATCACCGTGGTTTAGAGTGTTTGCCTTCAGTTTCAGCAGTAGCTGCTGTAGCTCCCTGGAGTCCTGCTGTAACTCCACACCAGAAGCTCATTACCATACCATACATGCTCTTCCTTCCTTTCAGTTTATCTTTCAGTCACTTTCCTCCTTGGACTTTTAGGTAATTGTGTAGATGATTTGTTGTAACATGCTGTAAATGTTCCATGGAGAAACAGGACAATGCCTAAGAAGCTTTTCACTTCACCCCAGAGTAATTGCATGTTTCTGGGCTTAATTCGTCACATATGTTTATTATGTGTGGATGGCTTCAGTAAGAAACTATTGTATCTTCAAGTCATACATAAATACATAAATTCCACATCTGTATAAGCACACAAACAGCTACTACTGTCATGCAAAACTGCTTTCTTTGATCCAGTGGTAAACGGTATGTTGTAATTGCTACACTCAGCCACTAGAGGTCAGAGAAGCACAGTGTAAAATATTGAACATTCAACAAAGTGCATGTGATATGGAAGGACGACCACAGTATGTCCTTAGCTTGAATAAATAAAATCTGGAAAAATTCAAAAAGGTAAAGTTCTAAGTTTATATTCTATTTTAGATAATCCAGCCTCACTTCACTC